TTAGACCAAAGTACCCCTAGAGAGAATAATTTTTCGCTTTATTCGGGAGGCAGAACTCCAATGGGACGACGCCTGTTAGAGCACCACTTTACGTGCGGGTGAGAAGTCGAACACCACTGCAGGGAGTTGCATACAACCAAACACCAACTTGCAATCTCAAGCACGGTTGCTACATCGACATAGCTTTTTACTCCTAAGTCCCAACAGGGCGATCCGTTGTATGAGATTTCTCGGTCCAAATGATAACAAAGAATATCGAAAGACAAAAAAATGCGCTAGGACAAGCAGGCAGACACTCGGAGCAAATTATCCGAATTCGGAACTGATTCTAGCAGATTCCTAGGGTAATAAAATACCCCTTGAGCCTGCCATTGGTATTTGCATTACCCGTGCTCCCGTGATCGGCGAGCTGTTTGTCGTCGAGCTCGAAGACCGTCGGAAAACTCAAGAAGTGTCATATTATATGTATATTCAATCCCTGGAACGACAATATAACGCACAAACCAACCCGCAACAACAAAGGGCGTATTCAATCACCATGGCCCAGTCTTCCGAATATAGGAGTTTCCTTATTTACTTTTCCTCAGATTGGGACAAGGTCTCGAATACTATCATATCGATGGAAGTCTTCAAGAGAAGCGCCCAAATTGGAAAGCAAAGCGTAGCTACAGTACAAGCTATTACTACTCTCCCAACTGAACCTCAAGAACAAAATGCAGAATCGAATCACAACCTATGAATCAGCATAAATCTATCAGAACACCCATCCAGTTTAACTCAATTGCGTTGCTGTCCACGATTCCGTCTAATTTGCCTACATATAATGTTCAAAAGGAAACAAAACCAGACATTGAATAACATGACTAATAGAAAGCCTAAAATTCCATCCACCTGCAAAGTAGTGAAGGGTATGTTTGGTACATCCCGAGAGTTGCACTTGTTCTTCATATTTCCTCAATCCGCGGAACAATCAGAAGAAGGTGCGGTCTGGGAGGTAGTCAAGGATGACTCCGACACTGATGACGAAGACCTCGGTGTCGTCAAAGCGGAGGACGCCTTGGTGGAAGATCCCGAGTCAGAAGCAATACATCGGCTGCCATGCTTGAGCCCGTTGTCTAATGTACATGACGACGTTTCTCCCTCGTGATTGGAGAAGGTGACCACCCCCGTATCCTTCACCTGAATCCATGCAGCTGACGAATTGTCTTCCGTGCCACAAGCCTCCACCCCGTGCACAGGGTAGCGATGGGTGCGGTCTCCGACTTCGTTCACCGCTGCGAGTTTGTTAGTAACTCTTTTTGTTGACTCTTATGCCAGAAGTCCACTTACTTGAGCATTTTTCTCCCTCAAGCTGGCCAAAGAATGCTGAAGATCCCGTGCAGCCATGGTTGTCATAGGACCATATCGCGCATTGACCATCAATATCAATGATCTCAAGGGTGCCGCCGAGAGATCCGCTTGCATAGGCACTGGCGAGAATCATAACAATGGAGAAGCGCATTTTCCTTGTCTTCTGGCGAATTATAGGAGCTTAAAATTCGAAAATATCTTTTGTGCTGCGTCTCGTGTCCTGTATTTCTTAACCGATTGATTTAGCGTTGTGTGTAGTGGAACAAAACGAGGAAGGATGACAGAGGCTTTTATAGGATTACCGAGATTTCTGAGAGCCTTCAGATCGCCTGTAGGGGGCACATATTGAATTAAAAATGTCAGTCGGCTGACCAAAGTTGAGGTGCATGGGAGATTAACACTTTGACAAGTATGGTCGGTTATTGAGGCTCACTATGCGGTCAGGAATCGGTTAGATCAGTTTAGGCCAGCTAAGACAACTTGATGCTTGCCCAATAACCCTTGACGTATCTAGGGCTAGAACATGCGGGCGACCTTTTCAGAACTGATGAGCTCCGGAGTTCTGAGGTACTTCCTTTCAACATCTCACCAGATTACACCTCACAACCCGGCCGAAGGAAAATGGCTTGTTACAGCTTTATGGCGTGTCGTCGTGGCTGAAGAAGTGAGGACTGGATATGCACTTGGACACTTGTGGCGTAGCAGGCCATTTTCGAAGTGATGTGCCGCGTCTAGGATAACGCGGGGCGCGAAATGCACAACCATAGATTTCGACCTTGGTCTTTGTCCATTCTGATAGAGCTATGCTGCTATTCATAACCGAGGACCCATGTATCCAATTACGAGGCGTATCATGCCGCGTGTGTGGTCGGCGGTCTTGTTCCGGAAGTAGGCCCAGCCTTGGTCCCCACAACACGCTGTGTTGAACGATCCAATTCATGTTTCTGAGGCACTACAACACGGTGCGGGTGAGTTGCCTCTGGCTTTTTGTTAGCCTTTTCGTCTCTTCAACCCAACAGTCCGCTGCATACTGTATGTTGCGGCCGGCAGCCGCACTTTGTCGAGGCCATGAAACACGTACTGATACAACAGAGTGCCCTTGAACTTTACTCCTGTGCTTCCAAGTAGCATCCTGCATCACTAAAATGAAATAGAACCCGCCAAAAAGCACATGGATAGCAGAAAGCCCTCAACTTTCACTTCTCGAATACCGTACATTTCATCTTCCACGGCTGCAAATGTCGCATTTGCCAATTATCATGACAAGTCGTTCATGGGGCTCGTCTTTGCAGCAAACATCTTTGTTTCCCTCCGTTTCCATACGGACGAAGTGTAAAGAGGGATGGTTGCAGGAGGAATATACGTGGTAGATATGGAAATAGTTGCACATTGCGATCCCATCGGAGGGACTGGGTTAGGAGGGCCAGTTGCAATAGGAAGAGGGTAAGCGTTCAATGTAATTGAAGTGTGACAGATTGGACTGCGGGAGTATGAACGTGGATGTTCTCCATCTGTATACAGCAAAGAGCTTGACAAACACTGAGCGAGGACCCAAAATATTTGATCGAGCCAAAAAAACTAAGGATATTAGAGCAAGCTGATGCGAGCATGTTAGTCAAATAGCATCACCACGCTCCAGGGTCTTTGTTCCTCTCCTGTTTAGCTTCGATACTTTCATCCGCTGGTACCGAATAGATCTGTTCTTTTCCGATGGCCCGTAACATCATCGTTCTAAGCCGTACCACGTTTATTAAAAACCCAAAGAACAATAAATAATATGCCGTTGTGAAGAGGGGCGTTCATAGACGAGTAATCCAGGGTTCTAGCTAAATACCCACGCCTCCATCATATTGAAGGATTTTTGGCCGACCCAAAGGGAAGGAGAGCAAAATTCCGCGTGTACCTTCCAAACTTGTGCAGCTTGTATAGTTTTACAAGGGAAACAAGTCTCCTACAAGGGTATCAAAATTACTACGTGTGTCCTCGGGAACTAACACTTGATCGTGTATCGATATTAGCCCCGCTTATGCTCGCTCGCCTTCCTAATCAAGGCGGACATCCCGTAAACTCTCTTATGAGCCTGCTTCCCCTATCTCCAAAACTCTAATCACCAACGGTGCATTATCGCCTCGTTCAATTGGCAGAAAAACACGTAACGGAAATGCCGTTCGCTTATAATCCCACTCCAGCGGAACTTGGGCAGGCTGACTGCCGGGATCCTTAACCCAATGGAAATACCACGCTCTTCGAGTGATGTACAGTGCCATGATATTAGTTTTGACAAGCACTAAGTACTAGCGCATCACGCTAGATTAAAATAGGATAACGCGATATTAAATTGGCTAACTATTACATACTATTACCTTAATATTTCGTGTACCAACCATCTGCCTCGATTACTGCTTGCACACGATGCCGGATCGTCTGTGATAGACGCACTCGAACCTGGTTCCTAATATTCTCCAACGCCTCCTTGGCGGCAGATTTTAATGCCTCGAGTGTATACGCATTATCATGAGCGTGCTCAAGCTCAGGATATAGCCTATAAATTAACGCCTAAAGGTTTTCAATCGGATTTAAATCGGGAGAATAGGCCGTGACGGAGAACCGACGGGGGACCTGTGTCAAGTTTTGGGCTTAACAAGCCAAAGCCAGCTGATTGGACGATAAGTATGCGTAAAGCGCTTCGCAGGTACGCAAGCCTACATCGTGTATTGTTGCGCCGCTTCTGATGTCCACTTGCACTATGCCATCAAGGCTAGTTAGAATTTTGTTTGTCTGATAAGGTCGAATTTGCTTTCCCTTGAATATTTCGCGGGATAGAGGAACTGTCTACTACTCTATTTCCTGCAAGAGCGCTCGGCTCTTGAAGACATAATTATTAGTGTTGCTAATGATTTTGGGAAGGTGATAATTGACCTTCGGCCCCAGGGCTTTCTAGAGGCAGCGCCTGCATACAATGCCTGAATGCTACCTCTAATCTAGGGAGAGTGGCAGTAGATCCAAGGGAAAACTAGTCTCCGATGGCAAATGGACAAGTCATTTGTGACACAATGGCCCTGAGAGAAACCCCATTGATAGGCAATTCGTCGATTTTCTTATAAATTTGCTTGCACCAAATAAAAGGTGCTCCTTACAATCATACATAGCATTTGGACGTGATATCACGGGGGAGCTCCAGCGGTAGGGTCTATAAATTGCCCATCTCAGCTGCACCACACTATCCTCTCTTTCCCTCCGTTCTGTCCATGCGACTTCTGCATTACTTTCGTGACACAACTGCACTTGTCCTTGAATTTGTGTAACCTTTTTCAGGGAAGTTTACGATCAAGTCCATCCTCAGTTAGGCTCCCACCCAGCCACAGCTGAGGAAGCAGCCACCGTGGCCTCGCGCGAACACGACTTCACCAACATGGATGATGGCTCACCAGAGCAAACCGTCAACGAGAAAAGTGCTCTCCCAACCACTGGTCACGGTACGATGGAAAAGGTGCACAATCTTACGGAGAAATTAGTGGGCAGTCACGGTGACATGGCACCAATCGACGACACCGACTACGTGATGGACAACATCAACATAAAAACTTCTTAAGTACCACGAGTATGACTATAATTTCTCCAACGTTCTGCGAGAGAAGCTCGCCTCCTTGATGGAGGGGCCATCTGAGGAACAAAACAATGAAGAATGGGAGCTGCAGATGAAGACCGAAACAGCTTTGAATCGCTTTTACTCGCCGTACCCTGAGGTGCGCGCCATTTGTACGCCCACGGACGATCCCACTATTCCCTGCGAGACCATTCGGGCCCACCTCCTTGACTATATGTGGGCCATTATCGCCCATTTCACCAATTCCTTATTTAATTCGCGCTATCCCTCCATCACTCTGGGATCTGCCGTGGCACAAATCCTGCTTTATCCATGTGGATTATTCCTTGCATGGGCTCTGCCAGACTGGGGCTTCATGATAGGAGGCAAGAGAGTTTCTCCCAATCCTGGTCCCTGGACGTACAAAGAACAGATGCTTTCCACCATCATCATCGATGTTGGTCTAACTTCTGCCTATTGCTTTTGGAACATCCAGACCCAGACCGTCTACTACCAGGACAAATGGCTTACCCCGGGCTACAGTATTCTGCTCTTGCTGTCTACCCAGCTCCCGGGTCTTGGGTTTTCCGGTCTGCTCCGCCGCTTCGTGGTCTACCCGGTCGAAGCATTGTGGCTCAACATCCTGCCCACAAGACGGATGATCAAGAGGGTTTGGATGGCAAATTCATAATTCACACGCCCCGAGGGGGCTCCAAATTCTTTACTAAGAATCAAAAGGCAAAGTCACATCATTGGAAGGTCCGATTTGCAAGCCGGGAGCTCAAGACTTCATTAGCAGATTGAGGGTTATCTGCAGCTGTCCATGGTCCACTGTATTTCCTGAACTATGCTCTGTGGTTGTAAAAGCTGCACATTGTGACTGCAATGCAGACGAACAGATCTGCTGAGACGAGAAAGCCTCAAAAGATCTCTTTGCCGGTCCTCATTCATCTCGCGCCATCTATCGAGACATTTTCGAAACAGAACTCGTTCTTGTTCTGTTCCATTGCCTGCGGCGACTCCAAAGTCATACATTTTCTGGAAATCTTTAGGTGTATCCGCAATGATGACACTGACCGGATAATCCTTGAGAAGTAGCTTTTCCAGTTGATTATTGTGGGCCAATGCCCGTCTGTTATTCGGCACCGCCTGCAACTCAGCAGCCTCGGTAGGTCGATGTCGGGGATTAGCCTGCTGGTCTCTGACGGCTTTCCACTCCTCCTCGGATAGGACGTGCGACGTTGCAAGACCGGTGGTTTCAACATAGTCTTGGTCACCGAGGACTGGACCGGAAACGTCCCAACCCCACGCACCACTGTCAAATAAACGTTCAGTATTGCAATCCACGAACACCATGCCCACGACATCATTGGGCCTGAGTTCCAGAAACTCGCGAGAAGTGTAGCCTCCCCATGAGTGGGCGACAATGATAAACGGAGGCTCAATACCGGCGTTCCTTAGAAGGGTATCAAGCTCTGCTGCGACTGATGCTGCAGATATGCTTGGTGGTGTTTGGTTGGGACCTTCACTCCTACCCATCCCTGAACGATCATAGTTCAACCAACGAGTAAATGGAACCACAAGCTTTCGCACTGCAATCCACTCATCGACTGTGCTGCCAAGTCCTTGCATGAGAACCACGATAGGCTCTCTAGGCTTGCGATCTGGCCCCGAAACGGACAGATAGAGTTTATGGGAACCGACAGTGACAAGCCCATCCTTATAACCTTTGTCCCAGTCAACTTTAGAAATTGGTTGCATTGTGAACTGGATGTGGATTCAAGTTGAGCAAGCAATGAAGTCAACTGGTTGAGTTTTTGGATAACGGGGAAGTGAATATTTTGAAAGATGCCCAAGCCCCCGCTTCAAATGTTCAATGTTTGTAAACTCCCCCTCCCTGGGTAGAGTTACATCACGAAAATAATGTGGGACTTTCCTTGACTGAATTAAATTTAGCGCAATCTGAGTGGGGCGCTGGCAACGTTTTGAAAGAAAGCGTGAATGTCTCAAGGGTAATCTGTTTTCGAATTCTACTGTAACTTCGTAAAAAAAGGCGGGGCCTGTAGTTCCAACATTTGAATGGTTGAATTATCTCGCAGTTTCAAATGTTGTTATATGAATAAAGCCCTTGGTTCATCGTTGATTCTAACGTTTGAAAGTATCCATGAATTAAGCTTACTGTACATGTGTGGGCTGGCTGTGCCTTGTGTTCAGGAGCCAATAGAGGATAGCAGATAAGTGCGAATAATATATGTCGGAGCAAGCTGCGACAGTAATGGCTAGCAATCCTAATAGGTGAATGAGGTCGAGGATTGGAGCAAGCGGAACCAATCTTGGATCCAAAAGTTTATTGATTAAAGAAAACGAATGTCATGGGGCAGGTTGAAATACCCCATGTATGGCTAGGGTACACGGTGTTACGGCAACCGTACAGTAATGCCAAAGTTACCATATTACTGTAAAAAACACAAAGGAAAGTGAGTCACTCAGTATAACCACGTGTCAGAAATAGCCCGGGTCTAGGAAGCCATTGCCTAGTCCTTCGAATGTATCTTGATCCATAGTTTGTATGAAGGGCTTTTTCAGTGATACGTTGAAACTTCGTCATAAATACAGGCAATAATTCGCTTTGTTGATCAGCTGACTATCAAGATATGTGACTGAATTGACGCTCAATAGCACATTGTGAAACCCGCTTGAAGAAGCGCCTTCAAGCGAGTCTACTAACAAAATTGCTAACCCACAAGGATCCCTATGATATTGACAGCTGAGAGGACATATACTGCAAGGATCCATGTATGAGCTCGAAGGAGGCACGACATATGTATATTAGGACCTGTATTGATAGATCAGTTTTAGTGGCCCTTTCGGCTTGGCCGCCGGGCGTTAATGAATTGTGTGTGTAGGGCTACCATACACAATTTCTTCAATCTTAAGAGGTCTGATCACCAGTCGCCCCTAAATGACTTCGGTGATCGAGAGATTCTCCTGGAAAAGGATATATGATCTAGTCGCAGATTATTGCCCAGCACCAGCTAATCCTGACCCATTCGTTGAATTCATCTCGTGTCTACTCCGCAGCAATATAACCAGATTCTTTCATTTAGCATCGATCTTAAAATACCCGAAACTGAAAATCAAGGACAATACTTTCAATATCGTTTTTCTTCGATGCTAATGGTGCTTGAGCTTAGCGCTCGCCAAATTTTTAACATAGATCGTGAACTGCAATACCCGAGTATTCAGGCAGAGGCGGCAGTTTAACTGTCGAGACGTTGTGCTAGCTAGTGCTTACAGACCGTGGCAAAGTTAAACCGCCGCTGAAAGCACCTTTGTACTGTGTAAGGCGACAATAAACACGAATAAGTTGAAGAATTGTTGGTCAATCATTTTGTGATAATTTGGGGACAAGACGGTGACGTGCAATTAGTGTTGAGTAACCCCGGCAAATTTTATGAACAGATAATAGCAAAACTAGCATAGTTGGTGAAAAGTGAGGTTGCTTTACTTATTCACCCGAATATGATCACTCTTGCTCAGGATCTCGCGTGTAGAAATGCTAAACATTGAGACATGAACTTTGTAATCTGACGAACACTTGAACGAATAGTATATTGAACGAAGAGTATCTTGAACGAACACTACCATGGTTTGCTTCTAGTATTTAGTGGAGCCACTAATTAATAGTATGTATTTTAATGACTCATTTGCTTTGCCTACAGGCTGGAGAAAATCGTTATAACCACAGTTAAATAAACATATTTTGACTCATGGTTCCATTGAGGATAAGAACAACACGATCCGCGTCACCTGCGTGTATATTCCCGTAGGGGGATGCTTTAACAGAATCATATGTGTAAATAATATGATCAAACAGAAGATAACGTTTTAGCTACTTATAGGATGGCCGTTTTGAACGGGTTGGAGCTAAACAGCTTAAAGCTCGAGCAACTAAATGAATGTGAAGTCTTCAAGTTAGGTGGTCTTATATTTTGCCTATACTGGTTTGGATATTGCGTAGGCGAGATTAACTACTCTGTCGTTCCGCGATCATTATTTGCCTCTTTTAGGTAGCCTACGCCATTTAAAGGCGGTGTTAATTGCGCGCGGACAAAGGGACGTTGAACAATATTGACAGTCGGACATTTTGAATAGTTCTTGCCAGTTCCACGGACTGTGTAAAATGTCATGTAAAACTTGAGGACAGATCTTGGCTTCCTCGGCTCAGATTAAACCGGGTAATAGTCTCCAGCACCGCGAAGAGGTGTCTGACATTTGCTGGAGGGCGGGCAAGGGGAATCTCATCGCAACCCGACCTGGTGCTTGATCCAGGATTTGTGTTCGTACTACAGTGGGTTTACAGTGTGCCGTAGCCTTGACCTCGATGGGTGGACTCACAGCAAATATGAGTCATCCATGTTAGTTACAGGGAACAGGTAATTAACCCAGTATAGCCTGGGGTTCCCGTCAGTTAAACCAAACCCCCCACCACTAACACCTCAACTGTTGCTCGAACTCACCCGTTTATAACCCCGAGCCAAATTGAGTTAATCGAGTTGCATCGGTCCAGTTTCGCTCAACCCCCTCCGCTCCTTTTCAACATGGAACATTTTCGTCATACCGCTCACATTGGAACCCACACCCTAAGCTACGCATTGCGAGGAATCCCCCGGCAGCCCGGCGCTCCACTAGTGGTAGTCTTCACCGGGATCACGAGCAGCGCCCTGGAATGGAGCGCAGTGTGTCGCGATCTCGAGCAAGAAGCAACCCTGCTCCTATATGAACGATCCGGCTACGGCCAGAGCGAGGCAACCGTGGCGGAGCCGGACTCCCTCACCATTGTCGAAGAGCTGTCCCGACTGCTCGTCACTGCCGCCCTCCCACCCCCGTACCTGGTGGTCGGGCATTCGTGGGGGGGCATGCTCGCGCGCGAGTTCCTGGCCGCCCGCGGCCCCGAGGCGATCTGCGGGATGGTGTTAATAGACGCGGTGCAGGAACGCATGCTCTTCGAGACGTGGCCTGATCCCAGTATTGCGGCAGTCACCGCGGGGCTCGACTACATGGAGGTCGTGGGGTTGTCGCACGATCACCAGCTGACGGACGCCGAGTGGGCAGAGTTGATGGCGGAGGAAGCCAGCTCGCACCACGCGCGCCAGGCTGTCCGTGAGCTGCCCTATCTGCAGATCAGCCGCCCCGTTCTGGCCCGAAAGCAGCAACTCCACCCTGCCACCCCGGACGGGGGCCGAGCCCTGCTACACGGCCAGCCGCTCAGCGTGCTCCGCGGCATTTCCTACCGCGACCAGCAGCGCCTGTACAACCGGGGTGTGGCCCAAGGATTGGGGACAGAGGCCCATCGAGCGACCTTTCGCAACTATCTGGCAAAGTGGGACAAGAGCGAGGAGGCTTTTCAGCGCGAACTTTTGAATTTATCGACGACCGCACGTTTCTCAACAACAAACAAGAGTGGCCATAACATTCACATCCTGGAGCCGGAGCGAGTTGCAGATGAAATTCGCTGGGTTCTAAGGAGGATTTTATCGGGTGTTCTTTAAATATATATATATGTATGTAGGTACAGTCAACTCTCGCTTATACCACAGCATACTATCCAAGCCAAACTACGTGGTATAATTGAGTTGTGTTTTGGTGAGAGGATGACATAATATTTGACAAGCTAACTCTAAGCCCTAATACCTATTTAGTCTTCCATCCCATCATCTGATCCAAAGTCACCTGACGTTTCTCATCAATCTGAATCCTGCCAAAGTCGCTGATTAAGCTCTCAATTTGTCTAATATGGTCCGAGGTACCCTTTTCTTTGCTACAAACCCATAGTAGGATATCCTGGAGGCTGTCCAATATAGCAGAATTAGACAGAAGCTCAGGTGGGGGCCCATCAATGTCAATATCCTGAATTTCTGAGGTTGTTGGGGCAATATATATATCTTGCTCATTGGTCTCATCTCGCCCTTCAGTCCCATCTTCTAACATGTCTTCGTCCGAAGGGTTCAAAAACTCGTCAAATGGCACAATATCTTTATCACCAAGCTTATCAATTGCTTGATTATATAGACTTTCAATCTCATCACTCAATCCGGGCTCGGAAAATAGTGCAGACTCAGGTGCGGACTCGGGCGCGGACTCAGGTATAGGTATAGACTTTGGACTAATCAAAGTACTTTGTTTAAAGCAATTGATAATCGTTTGGTCTGATACACTTGTTCTCCAAACTTGCGTTACCCAGGTAACAGTATAATAAATGCTCATTCTTTGTTTTGGGTCTATCCCACGATCAAGAAAAGCAATCATATAGCGCATCCATTTCTTCCGATAATGGTGCTTCAAGTTTTGGATAATACCTTGGTCCAAGGGTTGATAAATTGAAGTTGCGTTTGCTGGCAAAAAAACAACCGTAATCCGGGGTGGTGGTGGCGCTCGCTGGAGTCCAATAACATGTGGTGAAGCATTGTCTAAAAGGAGCAAAGCTTTCTTATCTAAGGGAATACGCCCATAGAAAGATCGCAACCAGTCCTCCATAATGTCATGACGCATCCATGCTGCCTTGTTGTGACGCCAAACACATCCCAGAGCTCGGAAATTAACCCCCCGGAGTGCGCGAGGGGTTTTTGCTGTGCCAATCAACCATAAAGGGACTCGATCGGAACCATCCGCATTTGATGCAACAACAATAGTGATTCGTGTTTTATCAAGCTTTTTGCCAGCAATTTTTCCCTTTGAAAGACCACCATTTGGCATACGTCGCCAAAATAGGCCAGTTTCATCCATATTGTAGATTTCGGACGGTTTGAATTGATTGCAAATCGATTTGGTGCTTTTGATCTGATCATGTACCGAGGATGGGACTGAGGCAGCTTCTCCGTGGAAAGTATGATATTGAAGAGAGTGGCGTTGTTTGAAGCGAGTTAACCAACCCTCAGAGAATTGAGGTTTGGTCCGATCTTTGTATTCCGGTATTTGTCTCCAAAGCTCAGCTGCTTTAGTTTGGATCAAAGGGCCATTTATTGGTATTCCATTGCCAATATGGTTATCTGCCCAGTCATATAGCTTTTGGTCCAATAATGGCCAACGAGAGGATGAAGATCGTTTGTTTGCCCCTGCAGGGCCCGTATCAAGATAATTGTATTTGGATGAAAGGATCCTTGATATGGTTGACCGGTCAATCACTTGTTTGAATTGGTCCTCAAACCACTTAGCACATGCAGTCTGCGTGGGCTTTGGGCTAGTATTAGACCAAAATGCCCGTAGTGCCTGTTTCTGCGCGTCTGATATACCCAATTTGGTACGCTTTGGTCCCATTCTGACGCGCTTGGGTGGGGTCGGGAGGGTAGGAGAGCTTGTAGATTGAGGCATTCTGATTGGTTGATTGCGCTGACTAAGCAGATTTGAGAGGAAGAAAGTGTGGTAAAACAAAATGTGTTATATTCTGTCAATTTATATGGAAAAAACTGGAATGAAGGGGCCATCCAAGCAAGGGATGTGTTATTATCAAGAATGTGCAATATCCCACCGTGGTATAAGCGAGAGTTGACTGTACTGCCCATATAATTTTGACAAACAGCCCATTGTGCCTGTGGATTTGGATGGTAATTATCTTTAGAGTATTCTAGACAGCTGAATTTTTATGGCTATAAATCCAGAGTTCTTTATTAATCAATTGGATTATAAGCCTGACAGGCGCCGGGGCGACCTGTTAGCAGAATACAGCTCCTGTCACTGTGTGGCGAGCTCGGCATCACTGGACCCCACCTTCCACATGACTCTTGGCATACATTCCTAAAGTATTGTATTGTATCCTATAGTTACCAGGGTCTCTGGATTAATGTATGTTGTTTGTTTGTATTATTTAACTAGTTCTTAATTAGTTACTTTTCGTCTCATCTTCTAATTGATTAAGCATGACCGATACAGCTACAGTATCTTACGTGACCACTACTTGGTGCCTCATTTGTTGGCGGTTCTCGCAGTGGCTCAAGGTACCAGGGCTTTGCAACGCTGAACATAGAGGCCAAAAAGGCAAGTATCTATATAATGGGGATTTACACATCTAGGAGCCTTGGTAGGTTGTGTATCTTGTTCTCTCTCTTATCTTGCGTACTGGCTTCCCGGGCTTCTTGTGTTTAGAGTCTTGCTCTTCCTTTTTTCCAGTCTCGTAGTCTTTGCATGATAGTAAAAAGTAAAAACAGATGCTTCATATTTTCTCCACAGTCGCAGCTAGAACGAGAGCAAGGTGGCCATGTTCTAGACAATGAAAGATTGGGCATTGGAATTGAATACAGCAAATTGAATACAGAAAAAGCAGAAGAAATGGCAAGGAAAAGCCATCTACCAACGCGTGCAGATATACATTTCAACAAATGAGACCTTCCTTCCCTCTGTTAAGCCTGTTCGCTCCTATCATCAAGCTTCCGGCTCAAACCGACTAAACTATCTCATTTCCGAGTGCCCTAGATGAGAAGATGCAGGTGTTTCCCAAACAAAACCTCATGCCTTAGTTAGAAGCTGCACAACTGCGCGTCATTCGTATTAGAGCATACGCATCTATTCGCCCGACTACACAGGAATAGCGCATCCCCATGAGGTGGCAACTGAGCCTTCTCCGCTGAAGAACACAATCAAAGCCTCAATAGATGCCCACGCACCCATACCGGAAAGGACGAGACCGCCCATAAAGTAAACAGTGCTGGCAGTATTGACTGGCCACCGCTTGAAGTATCCACGAACCCATCTCTTCCAGCCGTTGTCATGTCTCGTGGTGACGCGAGTGGTTGGGTCGAAGCCTTCGCCAGGAAGCTGGGCACCGAGCTGGCAGTTGAAGCCAATGTTCAAGAGGGCCGGGAATGTGTAGGTAAAGTTGAGGATGAGCAGAGCTCCGACGAGGCCCGAGATACCACCCATATTTGGAACGGACGCGGCAACAATGAAGGCGATGACCCAGTAGAGGGGACCCAAGGTGTACCAAATCCAACGCCCCTTTGTAGTGGTAATTGCGGGGAAGTGGAAGATTTCCTGGAACACCTCGATGTAGACTGTCTTCATACCAATATTGAAGTACATGACTAGTAGCAGAGTTTTAGCGAGATGAAAATATTCAATGCTTGTAACAGATACTTACCACATGCAATGCCACCTGTCAATAGGGCAAATACGTTACTAACCGTCTGCAATGAGAGAGGCTGAACTGCAGTTGTGATAACTAGGGCGGAGTATTGGCCATAGAAGGAGTAAACCTTCACGGGTACGACCGTTAGTGCGCTTATAACTTTCGCGTAGCACTAAGTGAGTTCAACCTACAAAGACGCCGAAGAAAATGTACACGACACAGATAAAAATCTGGGCACATAGAAGTCCCTTCCAGAAGTCCATCGGATGTCGCATTTCGGCGATGAAAGCCACGAAGAGCAGAGCACCGCCCCAGCTGTCTGATGTCGAAGGTTAGAGGGAGGTGAAGGTGGTTTTAAAAATGAACGAGCCAAAGTTACATACAAACCATCTGGTTGATTCCGTTCAACTGTCCCGCAAATCCAACAGCTGCAGGCTGATACTGCGACGGGGGAGGTCCCGCAAACTTCACAATAGATTCAACATCATGAATGCGCGTGCCCTGAGTGGTAGCCGGGTAATAGACTGGGTACTTGGCAGCGGCAACCATGCTTTCACGCCATTAGTGTCGCATACGAGATAGTAAATTGCCATAATACTCACACAATGAGAAAGCTGACGATATTGAGCCAAACGGACAGGTTGGCCAGCCAGCCGACATGCTGCAAGCCACGAATCAAGCCAGCAATGATACCAAAGGCCGTGAAGATCACGAGGCAGGCAATATAGCACACTGATCCGCTCGACAGCTGAGCGATGATCGTTCCACTTCCCAGAATAAGCACAGCAACGGTCATGAATTGCTGGAAGGCTTGCGTGACGTTGATAAAGTGGCGTGATTTTTTGCCAAAGATACGGAAGAAAGGGTCGCCGTAACTCAAGATGGGGTACTGAGAAGAATCAAGATGCATGCAAACTTTCCATAAGATCCAACCACTAAGGCCAGCTGCAATAGAGAAGATGATATAGAGAGCTGTTCCCGGGCCATAACCGACGGTAGAAAATGCGTATCTGGGTATGTGTTAGCATCTGCCGGATTCAACATGTCCCTAGAGACTTGATAGAAGAGAATTGGAAAACGCACGGGGTAGATGCCCAACCGAGGATGTCAGTTGTGATTAGGAAGAATATGGTTCCCCAGCTGGCTGTCTTCAATGCCCTGGCTGCAGTTTTCCACTCTTCTTCTGTCGCGGTTACTTCATTGTGCTGAGTGCTGGTTGGATTCTTCTGTTCAACCACGATCTCCATAGCATGTTGAAGAACATTGCTAGCACCTTCTTGCTCCTTCTTCTCCTCATGATGATGGCCGTGCGAAAATCGCGCCTTCAGGACCGTGGCTACCGTACGTGGACCGCGCTTCTCAACGTACTGGCGGTTTCGTTCCACTTCATCAACACGCTCAAGTTTAGCCCAATACTCATATTCCTCGAAGGAGACGGTATCATCGACTCGAGCTTCCAGACCCCAGGTACGCTCCATGATCTCGGGCTTAGCCAGGACATGTTCCGCCGCCGGATTGGCTCGAGTATTCGCAATTGGCTCAATGGTCAGACTCCCTGCGGCATCCATAATCACACAACTTCTGCTTCTGGAGGCAAATCCTTAGATATGGGGGAATGGGAAGCTGATTACAGTGCGGTTTGAGACGCGAAATCCACCTACGGGCAACATCGACCGAGGGTCGAGACGCATATAAAGCTTCGATGGCAAGAGGCGTTCCGCGTTTCACTCAACGGAACCGAAGATAACACTGATAGGGGGTTTTCGGAACTCCGCTGGCGTCCGTAATCGCTGAGACCCGCTATATATCCCTCTCTCCATACAGGTACACAGTACGCCGTACGAGTGAAAGGCAAGTGGGGGTGATAAGAGATCTTTTCATGGGTCTTTGGCCGGGGAAGTAAGCTTTGGCACCATCCACCCATGGGAAACAACAAGCTTCCCTATGAACGGGATTGGGGCCAAAAGCATGGGTTTCCATGTCCACTATCGGGGATCAAAGTCGCCATAATTAGTTACCAAGCGGGTGTACCCGGCTATATACTATCGCTGGATGGCTATCAGAGATCCATTGATAGGATGTTTTTTTCTACCGTGCACCGTTAAAGACTAGATGAACACCTAATCTCAACTAGTCCTCTAATCCCGAATAGGTATGTGTTAAGCGGTACAAGTGGCTCAATCTAAAGAGCAGCAGTAGCCCTGTACTCGTCATATGTCTGAATGATTGACGGGGTTTCCCTGCCCCAGTTAACCCCGCATAATATCACTAGGATCCACTGTCAAGTTCTATCTTCTGCTTCTCCAACCAATTCCTTAATTTCGCGTGCCCCGGGCAACTTCGCATACTGTAACCAGCGTCAAACATCATCTGGCCTTCCAAGGTATATGGCGTGCGCAAAATTTGTGGCCGCGGGGACTGATGTAATTTTCTTTTCCCCACGCGAGATATTATCCTAAATTATGCGGGAAAAGAAACTCAAAGACGAAAAAAGGATAAATGTAATGAATCAAAGGAATTCCGCCCACCTATTACGAAAAAGCCTGGTTAGCGAAGAGATACTGTCGCAGCATCTACGGATTACACCGAGGCGTCGAAGATAAGCCAGATGGCTATGGCCGGTGGAACGAGGGTATGCTAATCGTGCGACGACAAAAGAAGCTTAAACAAAATTGACTCCGACCCACTTGGCATGCAGTGGTCCGTCGACCTTATCGAAGACATTACATTCTGACACCCCTTTCGCCTCGTGACTTGGCCAATCACAACCAACCGGAATGCCCGAGTGGCAAGGATGATTATCCACCATCCTCTTTAATACTAGTGCACGAATAAGTTTAGGCACTCTTGTAGCATGTGTATATTTGTTGTATTGTTATAGAGTTCTGTGGGTCAGGACCCAGTATTTTATAGATACAGGTCTAACCCTAATGTATAAGTAGTGCGTATCAGGGTGACAGGACAATACCATCAATACAGGGGGATCCAACAGGCACCGTTTCATTCCCTATCTTGACGGACTGGCCACTTTCAGTTGCTTCTGGTGGCGCCGGCCATTATAGTTTGCCTACTCCTACCTGGGAGTACTGTCTCAGCTTGCTCCGACATTACACTTTGTCCTCGAGGAAAAAGTTTAAATCCTTCGGCTACAAAGTCGAAACTTTCCTAAATTGGCTTAGTCCAAGGTAATATACTTTCCAATTTCCACGGCAGAGTAAATCCACTGCCTGACAAGGCACGGAATGTTAGAGCTCGGATTTGAGGCTTGGGGAATATTGCAGAAAAGTGAACAGAGTACGAGCTTGTCCCGGAGGACAATTCTGGGTGGGCAGGGTGAAATAAACTTTGTAGCAGACTTGGAGGGTTGCATGGATATTAGGAAGAGCGCGTGATTCGGAGTGAGAAAAGGAAGAGAATCAGTCCCGTCTCTTAAGAGAATGTGTTCGGTCCCTGACGGAATCATGTGGAATCCTTGGGGATATTTTATAATCCTTTCTTCGAAAGGAAAGGAAGGGAATCAATCTTGTCTCTGATGGAAGATTGCGATGGAATTTATGGAATCCTTTAGGAATTTTCTGCCTAAGGGGATGTTCGACAGACCATGGCAAAAGTTTCACTGCTGGGCTCTGGCCCGTTACAAACATCGTCTTATGTAACCCGACCGGACAGTCGAAATCATAATATGCTCAACGCTCACTAGTATGTGCATCCATCTTCAGAGCATACTTATCAACCAGTATACCATAGATTAACCCTCATTTCGAACTATATTCTTGTTGAGATAGGTAGTTGTAGTGTTCTTGTTGAGTGTATTTTTTTATCAGAAGTGGGAATCGCATCTATTTAAACGTCCATCGCTAATCCGCCATAAGCTTTGACCACCGCAATACTCAACACTCCCACTCAATGGCAACCATCACCAATGATGTCAGTGACTATATAATCGGGGTTGTGACAAGCCCCATCAAAACCTTCAAAAAACTTCATTTGAGAAGAAAGGAAGGAAAGGGTACCCTGCGCCTCGGCCTGGTTCAAAGCAAAAATGGACTCGCGATCACTAGGGCTCCGAAAGGAATATGATTATTTGTGAATAATCATGAATATCTGCGAATATGAATTAAATGAATTGAATAATATGAATATGAATAAGCCGTCTATTCATATTCGCATTAATCATGAATAAATGAATAATTCATATTTATCCCAAATACGCAGATCCCATACATTACCATTCATTTCATTACATCCCAATACATCAATAGGGTTCATCATTTTGTTCTTACGCAGCGTAATAATGCGAGGCTTTGAACTTTGAATTACCAGAAATTTATGCTTGATACCGTTCTCTCAGTAGCATCAACCATCGCATAGTCTCTGCATTTAGGCAGTGTCTTCGGAGACCCAACATATCTCTGGCATTACTGAATTCACGTTCAATACCGACCTCTGCTGAGGGGATCGATAGGTAATCGCGAGCGGCTTTTGCCATTAGAGGGAAATTAAATTCGTTGGCCCTCCACCATTTCAGGACCCATTCTTCGTCCGCATCGCCGATCATATGGTGGGACCAGCTGACCGGTGGTGAGTCCAAATATTTATCGATATCAGATGAAAGTTTTCCTTGGGCAGGCTGAACTTTGCGCAGAGTTTTCCACATGGTTTCCGACATCCCTGGCGGACGTGAGTTCTCAGATTCATGCAAGGTAAAGGCCTCCGGAGGATATTCTTTCTTTAGAAACTCGCGCACTTGAGAAATGATGAGCCCTGCATCCTGGTCACTCATCTGCGATACAATCAAGGACGACTTGATACGCGGATCCAACACGGAAGCAACGTAGTAAAGAAGGTTGTCGTCCATTTTCCTGGCAAACTTGTTCATCTTCCGAATCCCTCTTTCCACTGCATTTCGAATTTCAGTGTTCACATCTTCAAAGTCTCCCGCGGCATTCCGAACGTCGTTCAACAAGTCGTCCAAGCTCCAATAAATTGGTAGACTTTCCACAATTGTCGGGCGAGTCTTTGATACGGAGTTTGTGTGGTCCCAAAACGGCTTGAGAATCTTGGCTACTTGCTGAAGCGTCGACCATTCGTCATCGGTGAGCTGAAGGGCCTGGACTTCTGGATGTATCCGGACAAATTGCCCCAGCTCAGTCTGTAGCCGGAGGGCGTCTTGGATCATGACATATGTTGAGTTCCATCGGGTGTCAACATCATAGCTGATTTGCTTGCCTGGTGACACTTCTTTCCAATCTTGGCGGCGTTGTGGGCTGCGGGCGATCCATAGCGTCAAAAGCCGGATTTTCATGATTGCTCCTTTCGTGCTGTGAAGGGAGTTAAATGCTGAGCTAGTATTGACGGCCAAGTCGTCCAGCATCGCCTTCGCCTCTCGTGCCGAGCCGGCCCTCAAAGAAGCTAACACGTCCTTGCAAATCAGATTGAGGACGTGGGCAAGGCAAGGGATAAAGCTCTGTCGTCCACGGAACCGCATTAGCGGCCTGATGCGAAAGCGGTCATCATCGTTGTCGTACTTTTTGCAGAGCTCGTCATGCAGACTATCGCAGAGAGTCCCGTTGTTGCCCGCATTGTCTCCTGTGATAGTCAGGAGTTTAAACGCAATGTCCAGTTCCTCGAGCATCTTTAGCACAATCTCCGCAAGATTTTCTCCAGAATGTGGTCCATTGATATCCGTGAACTCGAGAAGCTCTTCTCGCTTTTCAAACTCGGGTGAGATCCAATGACCCATGATACCCATTATCGCGATCTGATTCTCCGAAGTCCAAACGTCAAGAGATAATGCGAGTGTTCGACTGCTTATAGCAAGCTTTTCTTTCACGCAAGCCCTATCTGAGTGGAATTCGTCCTTGATTCGATTGAAGAGAGTGTCAGCGGTCCTGATAGGCAACTTAACCCCCGTTGCTTCAATAAGTGCCCTGAACGCCGGATGCTCCACTACCGTGAAAGGCTGCCTTGTTTGAATGACCCATTGGACTAGCGTCTTTTCAACATCAGCCTTCTTCCCCGGCGACTCCAAGAATGGGTCGAGGTTCCCTTCGGCCGTGGGCAACAATATAGGGTGATTCCCGGATTTGATACGATGCTTGGTCTGGAGATGCACCAACAAATTCGAAGTGGAACCATAGCGCGCCGAATCCCTGGAGGACCAGCTACAGTGCTTGCAAACCAGCAATCGGTCTTTCTTCAAGGGGCCGCCCTGTCGACACCAAGTGTTGTCCAGCTCTGTGGTCCAAAAGTGCTCAGTGGTCCAACTAGAATAGGACTTGGTTTTTCGTCTCTTATACGGATGCAAGCTACTCGTATTGCTCGTGCTCTCTGAAAACGCGGGATCAAGCGGGGAGGGGGAAGAACTAGGCATACAGTAGGACCGCTTAGATTGGGGTGTTTGCTCAGGGCCCCTAGACGGAGAGGGTTCCGGAGAGTAGGGGCGTCCTATTTCACAAATGGATTCCTCGGATTGCTCAGAAGGTGATGAAACCAGGCCATTGTGTAGAGCATTATAGTCCCGGCGTGGAAGACCCCGCGTCCTCCGCACGAATGGAGCAGGTGTAGA